TATCTCCCAGTAAAATAATTTCACAATATTTTTTTCTATAAACTGTTCATTGTGGCATTACTATTTAGAGCTTTTTAATTATTTCAAACTGCTAATTTCATGTAGATTAGTACTGTAAAACATATTTCAAATTCAAAACACACATATGAATATCACTGAATTCCAGAAACAAGTATACAGTGCTAAATGAATTTATTGCTCCATATATAGCTTATAAAATTAAAAACAAAAAAGAGTGGTAAACACTGAAAATAATGTATACAGCTTTTAAATTATATTAACTCTGAGATGGAAAGAATCAAAAAAATAATCTTCACTTCCCCCAATTTTTTTTTTACATATGTATTTCTGTCAGGATTAATTTAAACACTGCAACAAACGGTCATCTTGCAGGAAAGACAGTGCCAGGAAAAATGGAGCCAAATTTACTGAAATTAATGTGAAGGACTGGACACAAAGACATAAAGAACCCTTTAAAAGCTGCTGTAGAACAGGCAACTAAATACCAACACCAAATACTGAAACACAAGTTAAAATAAGAAAAATGCTAATTAAAAATTAACCATTTATTTTCTGTATCTCTATGCTAGGGATATATTTCACTCATTTCTTTCTACTATGTATTAGAATGGGTGAAAATATTTGACATTTAAGTTGCATTATGGCAAAATACATAATTGATTTTAACCACAGTTGAGCCCAAAATTTATGTTGCTAAGTGAGAAATTTGTTAAGTGAGTTTTGCCCCATTTTATGACTTTTCTTGCCATATTTGTTAAGTGAATCTCTACAGTTGTTCAATTAGTAATACCGTTGTTAAGTGAATCCGATTTCCCCTCTGACTTTGATTGTCAGAAGGTTGCAAAAGGTGATCACATGATCCCGGGACACTGCAACCATCATAAATGTGAATCAGTTATTAAGCATCTGAATTTTGATCACATGACCATGGGGTTGCTGTATCAGTCATAAGTTTGTAGTGTTTGTTCTTGAGCAGCCAGTATTAGGCCTTCTGTTTCTTTCTTGATGGTTCCCATCTTAAGACATGCCCATGACAAGTTGTTATCACATTTTCCTTCAATGCTTTTGAAATGCTGTCCATGCAAAGCTTTGGTTTTCCATCTATGTTGCTTCTCTCCTTGATTAGTTTCCATCCGTTGCTCCTTGTCCTGCCTTCAGGCGCTTTAGAGAATAGCTTGGCCCCCTCTTCTTTGTGGCAGCCCCTGAGATATTGGAACACTGCTATCATGTCCCCCCTCGTCCTTCTCTTCATTAAACTAGATATACCCAATTCCAGCAACCGTTCCTTATATGTTTTAGCCTCCAGTCCCCTAATCATCTTTGTTGCTCTTCTCTGTACTCTTTCTAGAATTTCAACATCTTTTTTATATTGTGGTGACCAAAACTGGATGTTATTATTATTGTTGTTGTTGCTGCTGTTGTTGTTATTATTGTTATATTATGTTTATATAATAAGAAAGGGAAAACTTCTTTGTAAGTTACACCTTGCATTTCAGGAAATCTGAGTAAGGCAATTCTGCAAAAACAACTGAAGCTTAATTTTTCCTTGGGGCATTGAAATATTTTTTGGAGGAAAGGGAGGTCTTTTGCAATTCTATTAAGCCTATTGACCAAGCTCAAAAAATGAAATGCTATGTCTTCAATTTTCAGCAACAATGGTAAAACACTACTTTACAAGCTGAAAAAAAAAAGGCAGGAAATCAAGGGCCTTTACGTTGCCTACCTCTGTGATAAGAAGAGGGTTATTTTTTTTCAAAAAACAACAACCCTGTGATTGAGAAAAAGTGTTCTCTTATACTAATTAACAAAAATAAATTGATGGAAAATGCAACTGACTGCTGAAAAGAATGACTGCCTTTGAAAATTAAGAGGAGCTGCTTGCCGACTGAATTTCAGTCCTGTTTTAATTGCTATACCTACCTACAAATTTTCAAAGTAATCATGTCTTCTCCCAGGGTCTTATGGCTACAGTACAGAACTGTCATAAAATCCAAGGAAAAAATACAGCTATTTTAAAGGGTTCGTGATAGATGCTACATTCGTACCCATGTGCTCTGAAGTACTTTGTAGAATCAAATTCAATGCATTGCACAGTCCTAATAATGTTCTTAACAGCATTTAATTTCTTAAAATATGTTCTCTGTATATATTTAATTATCACTGCTTCATTACCTTCTGCAATTTAAAAGGTTCTCTTTAAGTTTAATTGAACTGTTGTCCACATTGCAATCAAATTGCATTAAGTGTGTAGGTCCATTTGGTAAAAGGGACTGATACGTTAGCCAAGTTGTTTCCTTTTCTGTAAGTAAATAATTTTTCATCCATATATACTTGTATATCTAAAATACCTGTATATCTCAGTAATTTGTCTTAAGTTATTACCCACATGATAAATGGGTAATGTAACCCAATAATCTTCTTTTTCTGAGTATCAGTGATATAAATTGACCACTCTTCAAATAAGAAAATTAATAAACCATAGATCTATCTAATTCAGAGCAGCAAAGTACTGTCCAATGCTAAAGAGACAGTTGTTAGTAGTTTTTTTTTTTAATACTGGGAGTGATGATACCAAGGAAAAGTATCTTGCTAGGGTCCTAATTATTTCCTAGAGATTCGGACCACATAATATTTTAAAAGGCTATCAGTTTACAGAAATATAATCTAAAATCAGGTGCAAAAGCAAATAGCAGTTATGAGATAGATTATATTGATTGGACATTGCTTGCTAAGTGGCCAATAGACTCATACCAAGTACACATAAAATGCATTTAATGCACTGTTGGAAGAGAAAATATGGCTTGCATCTTTCATTAATAATCGAATAAGAGCAATATATACCCTGCACTAATCCATTTTAATTCAAGAGTTGATTATGACCAACATTTCCCCTGTGCTAACATGAATACATCCATATACAGTCGCTGTGTATTAATGTCAAAATGCATAAAAATGGGATTTCTGATCATTTATTAAGTCCCCATGTTTGCAATGCAATTCCTATAAATTATTAATTATAACATGAATGTTTATGGAATAAAAAGCCCCAATAATTAGAAATTTGTAGAGACTCATAAATTCGTAGAGGCAGATCTGACAGGTAATAGTGTCAACAACAACAGAATCTATTTACGTTGTTTATGCATAACTTTCTGACTTTAATCATATTGCTACTCTTCAGAACAAACTAGATTGTTTATGCAAATAGGTAAGAAAATCTATGCTGAGTTAAAAAAAAATAAAACCACATTATCCTTGACTTAAATCAGGGGTGTCAAACTTGCAATGTCACATGACGTGTCACGACGTATCACAACTTTTCTTCCATTGCCAGCAATGGGGTGGGCGTGGTTTCGGCATGACATATCTGGCCTGTGGGCCAGCAGTTTGACACCCTTGACTTAAATGAATTTATTTAAAATATATTTAACAAAATAATTGTAATGCTCCCCACACTTAACACACAATTTTATTACTAGTAATAAAATAAGCAGATATTGCATGCCAAAGAAAGAAATTCAATCATTCAACTCTGAATGCAAGCCCTTCAGAAATTGTTTAAATGTATATATTGAAAAATTTGTAATTAGCAATAATTGCATCCCAAATAAACCTCACTGACTACATACAATACTGACACTGAACAAAGAATCTGTGCATCATCTTGAAAGAAGATAGGTGGGATCTGTTGGGTGTCAAAATAACTGTCCTGTATGAAACCCAGAGCATCCAGGAGTCCATCAATAAGATGGCACCCAAAGAAGAGCTGCCTGAGAGAATGCCAGGGTAACAGCAGTCATGGGAGAAAGAACAGAGGAACAGCTATGGTAAGACAAGACACTGAATGGGATTCTATCATTGACAGATAGTTCAGGTGGGTGCAATGGGAAATCCTACAAGTGGCTAGAGAGGGCCGAACTAAAAGACAGCAGCACAAAAACAGGTAATAAATACCAGACCCATAGAAGGAGGGGTCTGCCACACTAGACAACATCCAAGATGCAGACTATCCCAGAGAGACCTCAGAGACAGTCCAACAACCCTACCAATAAGCAGTAGGGTATTTCACTGAATGGTACAACCAGCTGGCATTGTGTATAGGAACAACTGCACTGTGCATGGATTAATTCAGAACAGAGATTCCACAGAAGGTCATCGAGAATAATAGGACTAAGATCCCGATTTCCAGATCCCGATGGACAGGCAGGTACTGACCAGACATCAGAATAATAGACAGGAATCAGACAATAGCTGTGATGGATGGTGATAGAAATAACAGTGCCAAGTAACAGCAACATAAGGAAGGCATATAGGAAGCTGGAGTAGTACCAGAGCTTGAAAGAGAAATTAGAGAGACTATGGAAAGTAAAGACCAAAGTAGTCCCAGTACTAGTAGGAGCACTTGGGGCTGTGACTCCTAAGCTAGGAGAGCGGCTCCAAAAACCCAAAGCTTTTTACTATACATTTTAGTTTTCTCCAATATACTGAACAATTTTTTACAATCACAATACAGGTAGTATTCTCAACTTACAACCACAATTGACAAGTAAAATGAGTGTTGCCTCATTTTATGACCTTTCTTGCCACAATTGTTAAGTGAATCACTGTAGTTGTTAAGCTAGTAAAATAGTTGTTAAGTGAATCTGGCTTCCCCACTGACTTTGCTTGTCAGAAGATTATGTGACCTTGGGGTGGATGTCACAATAATCATTAAGTGTGAAAAACAGTCATAAATCACTTTTTTCAGTGCCATTGTAACTTTGAACGGTCACTAAACAAAGTGTTGTAAGTCAAGAACTACTTGTTCTGCAATCAATTTTCTTCTAAAAAGAATCCCTTCAGTTTGGAATGATATGATAGACTTTTGAATGCTGTCCAGAGTGATCCCTTTCCTTTGTAATCAACATGGACACATAAATGCAAAAGCATACTGAATATACAAGTTGTACAAAATGCAGCAAAATAAGATATGAACTTACTATTGAGTGTCATAATGTTATCTGTTCCCGGATGATGAAAATTTATACCCATACGACCTAAAAAAAATTAAACAGATTTTTAATACTAGATTTATTTTTTTTAAAAAAAACTAGTTTCAAAATCAAATAGATATGAATAGTGTTAATCATTTCAAAATATGTTCCATCTCTACTTCTATACAAGATGTGTAGCAATAACTACTATATGTTATGTTCATTAAAGGTAAAAGATAACAAACTGAGAAAAAAAATGAACCTAAACATGTTAATCTCCTTTTATTGGTTTCTTTATAATGGAAATAGTTCTGCTCTTATTTCTAATTGTTGGAATTTGATTTTTAGATTAACAGAAAACACACTTTTCAATTAATTACTGTAACAAGAAACAGTACCTAATGTTAAATATTGTGCTTTGGAGGAAAAATAAACACATTATTCCCTCACCTCCATTCCATTGACTCAATAGGGAAATCTGGGAAGAAATATTAGCAGCTTCTTGTTGTCAAAACAAGCCATTAGCTCTTTAGTGTTTCTTTAGCTGATTACTGATAGTGCGAGTAGAAATAACTTACTTATGCTTCCTCAAAAAAAGCCAAAGACTATTTTATACATGTACTGTAGTTTGGATTCTCATTAACTGGTGAGTGTATGAAATCTTCTGCTTCTGGAAATGATTACAAGCCTCTTTAATTTACTCAAGATTCTGTTGTGGTAAAGATAATGGAAATATTAATCAGAGAGTCTCTGATCTGAATCTTATATGTCTTGACAGCATCTTTAGGTCAGTTATTTAACTTGAGTCCCATCTCTCCATCTATCTTGCAAGAATGCGAATTCTTGCAAGATAGTACCTTGCAGGTTGTTGTAAGGAAGTAAACAAGGTACCGTATTTTTCGCACCATAAGACGCACCTGACCATAAGACACACATAGTTTTTAGACGAGGAAAACAAGAAAAAAAATATTCTATCTAAAATGAAGATAACACTGCATATATCCTTTTTTACCTTTAATATATATATGTGTGTGTGTGTGTGTGTGTGTCTGTGTCTGTGGGTGTATATATAAAATAAAGGTAAAAAGATATACCGTATGCAGAGTTATCTTCATTTTAGATGTCAAAAGGGTCTCTCTGTCTCTCTCTTTCTCTTCTCTTTCTCTTTCCTTTTTTCGTTCTTCTTTTTCTCTCTTTCCTCTCCCCCTTTATCTTTCTCTTTCCTCTTTCCCTCTTTCTTCTTTTTCTCTTTCTCTGTCTCTCTTTCTCTTTCCCTCTTTCCTCTTTCCTTTCTCTTTCCTCTTTCTCTTCTCTTTCCTCTCTTTTCTCAATCTTTTTTCTCTTTCCTCTTTTTCTCTTTCTCTCCCCCTTTCTTTCTCTTTCCTCTCTTTCTCTCTTTCCTCTCCCTTTCTCTCCCTCTTTCCTCTTTTTCTCTTTCCTCTCCCCCCTTTCCTCTCCCTTTCTCTCTTTCTCTTTCCTCTTTCTCTCTTTCCTCTCTCTTCTCTTTCCTCTTTTTCTCTCTTTCTTTCCTCTCCTTTTTCTCTTTCCTTTCTCTCTTTCCTCTAACTTTCTCTTTCTGTTTCTTTCTCTTTCCTCTCTCTTCCTCTTTCCTTTAACTTTCTCTCTCTCTTTCCTCTCTCTTTCTTTCTGTCTCTGTCTGTCCCTGTCTCTCTTTCCTCTCTCTTTCTCTCTTTCTCTTCCTCTTTCCTCTAACTTTCTCTCTCTCTTTCCTCTCTTTCTCTGTCTCTCTTTCCTCTTTCTCTCTTTCCTCTCTTTCTCTTTCCTCTCTTTCTCTTTCCTCTTTCCTCTTTCTCTCTTTCTCTTTCCTCTTCTCTTTCTTTCCTTTCTTTCCTCTCTTTCTCTCTCTTTCCTCTTTCTCTTTCCTCTTTCTCTCTCCTCTCTCTTTCTCTTTCTCTCTCCTCTTTCCACTCTTTCTCTTTCCCTCTCTTTCCTCTCTTTCTCTTCTCTTTCTCCTTGTGAAGTGGGGGCAGGGGGTTCAAGTGGGCCTGTTGATTATATACCTGGCTCCCTGCTATGTATCAACGGCCCTGCCTGAGCTGGCCGACGTAATAGCCGGGGTGGCAGTTGAGACCCCCAGACTCATAGTCATGGGGGATTTCAACTTGCCATCGGCGGGCGAAACGTCGGCGGCGGCTCGGGAGTTCTTGGCCTCCATGAC